CCCCAAAACCCCAAAACCCCAAAACCCTCATAAACTTTGAAAAGAAATTTTATGATAAATTAACTAATATATTATAGGAAAACAATACTTTTATTTATTATCATTGGAACTTGGATACAAGTAATTTAAGGCAAATCATGGATACACCCCTGAGGAAAACAGTTAATGCTGCTAAGATAGCTAGACATTTAGCGATTCCTAATTCGTAACCTAAGAAATTTACCATGTGAATATCCCTAGGACCATATTCACGATCTTGGAATTCATTGTAGACTAGCGCCTCGAGAGCATACTTGACGGGAGAAATATACTAGAACCAACCAATCCAAACTGGGTAAGAACCTGCATTAGAGAAGAATCCACTAAACATCAATAAAGGCATCATAATAACAGGAGCTACTCCCACTGCTGTCTCCTCTTAACTGAATATACTAGACAAAAAGTACCCAAATGACGAAGCACAAAGCACTAGCAATAAGAGTATCAAGTAGAAATAGAAAAATTGTCCAGCAGTTAATGCAAATCCGCAGCCAAAATATACTATAACTGACCATAACATTGGAGAGAATATTTGAACTGGTAATTCCAGAGTTATCTTAGCTAGGAAGTATGGGCCAACATTATAAATTTTATTAGCTTGCTCTCTCAAAAAAACAGGTCTCTCTTCCTGGAATACTAGAAGGCAGCCCATCAAATTCATCATAAGTTAATTGATACAAGTAAAGAATAAGAAACCAGCCATACCCATTTAAGTTACGAAATCATTAGCACTTAAGTCCCAGAAGATAGCTAAACTTAGCAGACCGATAAAAATAGTTTGTCCAACTTTGACTCTGAAATGTCTAGGATCATCTTTGGCTTGCTAATTGCATCTTTTCATGAGTTCTTTTAATTGAATTCTGAACGGAGCATAATCTTTTCTGAATTTACTAGGATCTACCGCAGCTAGTTGGAGCATTTTCTGCTCTTTTTTGACTATTGGGTTGAGTTTTTAATCATAAGATGAAGTTAGATAATTAACCTTTTTTATGTCATTTTGCTCCTTAGGATAATTAACTGTAAGTACTCTCATGTAGTAATCTGCAGGATTGGCGTATTTTGGACAGGGAATTCCTATCTTATCAAAGTATCTTGAGCACTTCATTGCCTCTCCTTAGAACACAATGTTTCCATCGCACATTAAAATTAATCTGTCAAATATACTAAAAGCATCAGAGCCTGGCTAATGGATGGTAGAGATAACAGTTTTACCTTTATTAGCTTGTCTTTACAGAAGCTTTACAATTTAAAGTGCTTTAAAGCTGTCAAGTCCAGAAGTAGGCTCATCTAAAAGTATCAAAGATGGGTCTGTAATAAGCTCGACGCCTATAGCTGTCCTTTTTCTTTCTCCTCCAGAGAGAGTTTTGTGTCTGGCTGAGCCTACAGGAGTATCAGCAGAGGCTTTAAGACCGAGTTCCTCAAGTAGCTCTTCTACTCTCTTATCTTATTCTTCTTCAGAAATTTCATTTAATTTCATTCTTGCAGCAAATCGCAATGACTGTCTGGGTGAATAATGATGGAACAAGATATCATCTTGCATGACATAACCTGCCAAGCTTCCAAAAATGTCTTGAGTAAGAGGGGTTGTGTCATTTATCATAACCTTGCCTGATAGTTTATTTCCCCTGGTGCTTGTGGCTCTATCACTTAAGATATTTAATAAGGAAGTTTTTCCAGCTCCAGAGGATCCCATAATATATAAAGTCTGTCCTGGAAGTGCGTATCCACTAACTCCTTTAATAATGTTGAGAGTTTTTGTTTTTGTTTTCTCAAGTATAGCATCCTTTTTATTTAGCCTTACAGTAACATCGAACTCAACGTTTTCAAAGCTAATTTTGACTGGATTTTATCTAAGTTTTGAAAGCTCCATCGATTTAGTAATCAAATCTTGGTGAATCTCTGTTTGCATTGTGCGAACTCCTCCATGATTATTTAAAGCTAAAACGAAATTAAAACCTAAGTTTCTTACGTTAGATCTTATTTTTTTGAGCAATGTCCTTTGTACCAGTAAAAGACTTTTAAGACTCATAGTCTTGAAGATCTACGAAGTCATCTTAGTTGTTTTTAACAATAGACATAGGGTGAACTGAGTTTTACGTGGCTTTAAAAGTCTAAGGAAAAAATATTTTAAATATAAATAAAATCAGCCCTAAATTACTATATTTAAGATCATTTAAATTGACGTGGCCTGTTTAAGCCTTATCAAAACGTACTATTTTGATATAATACGCATTTAATTAACAAATTTCTTCTTTTTTTAACCAAAAACAATATCAAGGGGTTTTGGGGTTTTGGGGTTTTGGGGTTTTGGGG